AGTTCCACAAAGGCAAATTTATTTTGACATATCAACTAATAATGTCCATTCCCTTTCTGGGACAATTAATATCACATTTTTATTATGGTATCTGTACTAAAACCATCAGTACAATGGACGACACTGACTTTTAAAGGAGTTTAGCAATTCTGTGACAGATCAACTGTAGTAATTTCCTTTCTTTGGGGTTTATGGTCATTATTAGTCATATTTCACATATTTCAGATGCAGCAGCCACCTGGAATAGAAGCCATGTGAGCTTAAGGTGCAAAGGACCGAGGATCAGTGACAGTGGGATGCACTTGGGAGGGAGAAAGGTATGCTCAGAGAGAAGATAGGAAAGGACACAACACGTATGTAAGGACTCAGGATATTGAGAAGTGGGTCATTTTGAAATCTTACCTGAGCACTCAGAAGATTTTTGGCTTGGATCCCAGTCACAATGTCTAAGAAATTCCCTTAAAATGTTCAGAAACTAAACCCCAATCTTTCGCAGCTTCAGAGCTCAGAGTATGTCTTTTCTCGGCCCACATGCATAGGAGTCCCAGTGGCCCCACGCAGTGCTCAGTGGTCAGGGAGTCAGTCATACTCCCTGACCCTCTGGGTGAGGGACACCTAGTGTCTTCTCGCAAGGTCCTTGCCCAGATTCTGTATTGAAGCAGCCTCCTCTGTCACACCCCACTCCACAGTATAGGTTAGTGGACAGGAACCAACACCTCAACACAGGCACAATCAGTCTTCAATCTGGTCAGTGATCTATGAAGCAGCCAAACATAAAATGTCTCATCTCAAATGTCAATGTCTCTCTTGGATTGCCTGAAAGATTAGGTAAGTATGAGGAAGACAAAGATAGCAATGGAAAGCTCCTGATGGGCATGCAAGTTGGAAGGGCATCTGTAGTCAGAGGAGAGAGCGTATATCATGACTGAATCTAAACTATGAGTTTTCAAGAGCCCATACATGCAATAGAGAAATGGAAGATATGTTATACATCATTCTGGGCACGGGACACAGGCACCTGCTCCTGGAGGCATAAGGCTGATAAAGCCTGCAGGCTAATGGTTCCTTAAATCCTCTAAGGCTCAAATGTCAGTTGTCACTGTTAGAGTGAGGCTGTGCTCTAGGGCTGTTCCTAGGATTCTGCATAATTTCTAACTCCCTTTTCCTATGTTTCTCCTTATAATCAGATACCAGGATTACTGAGACAAAATGAATGTTTTTAGCAAGGGAGGATCTAAGAAGGAAAGAAAAACAAGCCCCATGATATGAGCATGGGTTTCCTGCTGGGTGATATGTCTTTTTCAGCGATGCAAAGCTCTTTTTCAGGATAAAATCTTACAGGAAGGGCTTCAGTAATGCTTCCTTAGGAAAGGAAAGTCATCCAAGTCCTGGGAATAGAGGTGTCCTAACAGAAACAAAACATTTCCAGAAAACTATCACGTACTCATTTCCATTGTCTGAGGCCTAGGGTGGTGAGCACAGGTAAAGAGTTAATGAGAGTACTGCTTACAGTTACATGAGATTCTCTGAATCTGGTGAAAGAGCCTGTTGGCCATACTGAAGATGCTATAGATGGACTGAATATCTGTTTCTTCATAAAAATTATGTGGTAAAGCCTAATCCCCCAAGGTGCTGGTATTCAGATATGAGGCATCAAGGATGTGCTGCATGTTCATGGCACCTGGTATTCTGTATTTCCTGGTCCTAGAGGATGCTGATGCTCCTGGTCTGGGGCCATGTTCTTAGCGGGGATGGATACGAACCCTGCTCTCTGATAGAGAATATCTGTTCTCCATGCACCATCACATCCCCAGGGCTCATTAAAACACACATGTGAACATGACCTCTGAGGCTTTGAAAGCTATTCTGTATTCCTGGATAGGGCACATAAATTAATAAGCTCTTGATCACATTAGCAAAAAGGAAAATATCTGAAAATGTATCCCTGCCTTCCAAACAATTAAAAATCTCATGTCAGCAACTTGGAGTTGTCCTGTTAGCACATTTCCAACTTTGGAGTTAGAATGCTCAACAAGTCACAGGCTGGATAAGATCAGAGAATACTCACAGGTGATTTCATTGGCTCAGTTGTTTTCTGAATAAAAAACACCACCATGAGGAAAAGAGGAACTACCCAGGACTAAACATGGAGAAGAGGAACAGGGCTGAATCCAGACTAGGTGTGTTATGATTAAATCTGTCACCCTCATAGTCTCCAAAGTTATTTTACAGAATACTTGGGGAAGGTGGTATGTCTATTATTATAGATGAACAGCCTTACCGGTTATTTAGAAAAAGACTCTGAATGGCTTGGGTTAAGGTGATTGTTTTGTGTGCAGGCAGTGGACTTTGAGGAGGGAGAACAGCTATCTGCCCCAGCTATTGACTGCAGCCATCTATGTAAGAAAGAATTCTTTCTGAGCTATTGATAGCCCATTTGCAAGACCATCACCCATGACACAGGGTGTGACTTGGGGACATCAAGGGCTAGCTCAGGCTCCAAGGGAACCATGATACCTGCAGATGATTTCCCTGGCAGCCATCACCAACTATCCCTAGTTCCACCTCCTTCTGTGATATAGCTTGGGAAGAGGCACACAGCATAGACACTGTAGGGATTGTCAGGGACTGTGTTGGCTTCTAAAGGCGGTGAGTTTAGCACTGGGTTAACTGCTCATGGACTAATCGGAAGGTGATCTCTGGCATGGGCATTGATTGTGTTTACTTTGGAGACACAGAACTTCCTAGAATCAACAAGTGCAGTAAGAGCCAAAGGCATGATTCCTGTTGCCCTTGAACTTCTCATAGGGCTATCGACTCTTTCTGGTTTTCCTGACACTCTCTGGTTTTTAACACTAAACTCTCTGTATTTTGGGAAACTTTTCAGTCTCTAGAATACCAGGATGGTTTACCTCTTAGACATGTAAGGTATGGGTATAAACAAATCATGTGCGAAGTTATGAAAGAGACAGAAAAGCTCAAGGACTTTGAAGGGTAGAAATTCATTATATCCTGAAGAAGATTTAAGAATTGAGTTTTATTCATATAGGCATTATAAATGCAGTTGTTGGGGTGAGGGGAGGAACTCAACATTAAAGAAAAATTAGGGAACTCTCCTATAACTAGCCAACTTGCTCCAAAGAGATGTTTTACTTTTAATGATTTCATCACTGAAACTTCAAAGATGATGACAAAGAGGAAATGTTTACTTTAGCTTGTATAATAGCCTTGAGTTTGACAATCACCTTCAATATACTTCTGAAGATGATATTGATGGAGAAATTGTGTCAGAATCACTGAAGAATAAAGAGGAAACACTTTTGTTACCCCCCTACTTTATCAGGCCACAAAACTCAGAATTCATTTTTCTAAAACAAAAGTACCAAAAAGAACCAAAATTTTAAACCATTTTTCATATATAAAGTTGACATTCACCCTGTCCCACCAAAAAAAGAAAAAGATGGAAAAGACTCACATTGGACTTGTTGCTTGCTTTGAACACTTAAAGTTACAGGTACTAAAATCCTAAAAATATCAAACCATCATAAAGTTATAAAAAGACTGTTTAGTTTTTACTCTAACTTTGGCATCCATCTTAACCAAGCTACATTAATTCATTGCCTAGGAGTTCTGCAAGCTTATGTTTATTTATAATATTCAATATTCCCATAAGCACAAATGTTCCAAATGGAAGGTTGCATTTTGATAATGCCCATTTCTTCATAAAGATTTTATCATCTACCTACATTAAAGCCTCTCTCTACACTTTGCTGCTTTCACCTTGTATATTCCTGCTTTATTTGCTTAATCGTGAGCTCCTGGCTTCCTAGGCTTTCTCAGGTTTGAAACAAGCAAAGTTTGTGCATTAGTGTATCCCAGGCATGCATGATTTATGAATGGCGGGTTTCTTGGCACAATTTAATGGTATCAGAACAACTTTGTTTTATACATTAAAATGCAAGTCAAAAAGTGGCAACAATGGGTAAGATATTAGAATGCACAGAGCATAAAGAAGTGCCAGCCCAGAGTTCGTCAGTCCTTTGGAGGTTTAGTACTATCTGGGGACAGACGTTCTGACCAGTGTAATAAAATACTGTATATGAAATCCTGACATTTGGCCAACTAAAAAGTATTCTAAATTGTTAATAACATGACCTACCTAGCCAATCCCTTATTCTGCAAAAAAAAAAAAAAATTGTTGACATTTATATAAATAGAAAAAAGAAGCATGTTTGACTAGTCCAAAGCAATTCATTTTTTCTCTTTAGTGGACATCCTAATCCTATCAGACCATTTTCTACCATAATAATTCTTCCTCTGACAGAATCATTTTGTAGATCAATCTATCAGTCAGTGTTATCAAGTTTTCACAGTCAAAAAATTTCATCATTTCAAAAGAACTACCCTTCCTGAGTTAAATCATAGTCTTACTTCTGGTATATGCCCGTGGATGATAAAAGCTCAATATGCACATATATATTTTTCTCAGTGTGAAATATGAACCCCCAAAATTTAATTTTCTTTAGGAATAATCCTAACATATACTTTGCGAGCCACATAATTATTAAATTAATTATTCTAAATAATGTCATATATTTCGGATGTTCCAACCACTTTACACATAGTCAAGTAACATCTGATCTCTTTTTGCACGTGGCTAAATCAAAGAACTGTGAGATTATAACTCAGATCTTCAAGGTAACAGCATAGGAGTCCTACAGGTAAGTGTTTAATGTGTCATGGAAAGATAACCCTCACAAACATCCAAAAGACCTCAACATCTTCAGTATCAGTGTTAGGAAATAAGGGCTCTAAAGCTCATGGCTTAAGGAAGATTAGGATGCATAGGTAACTGTAAACACACTTTCTGCAGAAACCTTTCATATCCTTCATGGTGGAAGCAACTTGAACCACATTCACCATCCAGGACAATTTTCTTGTGCACTTCTGGGAACTCTGGCCAGTGGGTAGAGCCTTACACACATGGACACATGGGTTACCTTGTAGATTTTGCAATGGTAGAGTCATGATGCCTCCAGCTGCAGCTGCTGCTACCAGTCCTTGGATGTTGGTGAGATTCGCTGTGGGCAGTGTGAGGACCAGTCCCTGTTGGCCCCCGAGCTGTCCGGCCATGTTGAATGGGATGAGGATGGGCTGGTTGAGGGCTGGGGGGCCTCCAGGCATCACGCCAGCCACAGCAGAGGCGAGCTGCTGGGCCGTCAGAAGCGGCTGCAACACAAGAGAAGCATCCCTCACCCTCTTGTGGGACCAGGAGAACTTACTTAAAGCATGTTCTCTCCCTTTCAGCTGAAGAAGGTGAAAAGAAACATGCACTACCCTAGAAAAAGAGACAACCCAATGCAAGAAAGTTTTTTGAAATCATATTTCAATTATTTCTATGGAAAATTTCATTTGGACTCTACTGAGGAGCTCAAATACCTTTAAAAGCAATACCTGACACCTATGTCTTGTCTTTCCAATGAATTTTCATATGACCCTTACCTTCAAGAGTGTGAAGTTGTCAGCTAATTTATTCTATGTTGCTCCAGAAAAAAAAATGCATTGCGATCAATGGGATTTTATTTATTGATTCAAAAATAGCAAGGAAGCACTATTTTCAGCTCTTTAAATAAATTAGAATAATGTCAAATATTTACTTCATGTTAAAAAGTCTATAGTATGGGCTGGGGATTTAGCTCAGGGGCATAAGCGCCTGCCTGGCAAGTGCTAGGTCATGAGCTCGATCCCTGGTACTGAGGGAAGGGGGGAGTCCATAGTAGCACCATTATGTAGATGTATGGCCACAAGGTGTATATATTGGCACAATCCTTTCAAAAAGCCATTTGGAGATATATATATTCCCAGCCAAGCAGAGTGGAACATGCCTGAGAGGCTGAGGCAGGAGGACTGCAAATTTGAATATATCTTACCCTGGGCAATTTAATAACTTAGAGAGCCCTTGTCTCTAAATAATAGATAGATAGATAGATAGATAGATAGATAGATAAGTCCGAGGATACAGCTCAGTGCAAAGACCCCTGGTTCAATATCTAGGACTGAAAAGAAATATTCATCTCTTTTTGACTCAGTGTATACTCCTGGGATATAGCTTAAAGACAGAATTCAAAAGGAAAAAATATAAATGCTTGAAAATATGTGCTACATTTTTAAAAGCATGTTGCAAAACAGCTCGCTACAGGATTGAACTTGATAAACCATTATGTAGTCATTAAAACAGATTATTATGACACTTCTTTAGGAAAAGAGAAAAATGTCATATAAGATACATAAAAATAAACTATTAAGCAAACAAATATTTACTATTAAGGTGAAAAAACTACATATGGACAACATTGAGATCTACAACAAAATATAAAAATAAGAATGTTTACATTTTTACAATGAAATTTTTTAACATTATTACACCAACATTTTTGCCCAATTAAAATGATACCATAAACACACACATTTATGTCTACCATGGATCAATAGCTACTGTCTGAGTGGATGCCACAAAAATTGCAGCCACTGGACATCAGACCTGTTTGCACGTGGGCATGGGGTCTTCACCATGGTGAGAGACTAAGGAGGACTCCCACCCTGGTGGGCCAGACGGCTGCGAGTGTCACTTGACCCAGGATGTCACTGTACCCTATGGGCCCTGATGTAAGACACATGATCTCACATCCTTTTGTCTTCCAGAGAAGCCAGTACCACACTCTTACCCAGGGGAATTCAGTTTTCTTTTTTTTTTTTTTTTTTTTTTTAGGTATGTGTGATTCTGTAAAGAAAAGGTAATTAAATACAAGTGTGGTATAGAGCCCACCATGCAGGCAGTATATGACTGATCCTACGGGTGAGTTATGGGGAGGTCCGTTACTTGCCCAGGTCTCATTTCTAGGGTGTATTTAGGGACCAAGGCCAAGCAGGCAGCACCAGAATCCATGTTTCAGCCTCTCTCCTATACAAGGAGCTGAATAAGCAAGCAGCAGCTGCTTTATGGGATGGATGAGGGGTGGGCGGAAAGGGCTGAGCCCACTGTTGGGTCATCTCTCTAGTGTCTCTCTCCCCTACACCCCTTCAGAAGTAATTCTGGAGAAGCAGAGGGCTCGCTGTTTAGGACCACTTCCCTAGACCCCACTTTTTGCATTATTTGCTAAATTCACACCAAGTAATTGTGCTTCCTTTTTCAAAAACACAAAGTTACTCTAAAGTGCAAAATAGACTTTCGGAATAAAAATAAAATTAATACACTGGCCTTAAAATTCTTGGTGTGCTATCACTAGTAATAAATATTATACTGAAAAGGAAGGCAAATGGGTAATCCTGAAATTGTCACAGATTTGGAGTCCAGGCCTTCAGAAATTTTAAAGTTAGATTAGGGGCTTAGAGCAAAGCGTTGCTTGTCGGTTTGTCACAGTGCCACTGTTCCTCACTGGCCTAAGACTGTCAGGGCACTCACCTAACCTGTCAGGGCAAGAGTGTGTTAGGACTGATATGGTCACAGGCACATCTGTGCACACAAAAGCACAGATGTCGTAAGGAGGATGACATAAGGGGTGACAAAGAAGCCAGCTACTGAGATTCCCACAACAGTCTCCTAAACATCTCCCAGGTACACAGTGGTGCCTGGGAGGTACAATATTACCAGAGGCCGCAGAGGGACTGGTGACAACTGGAAAAGAATGTGATACCAACCCAATCTCTACCCTTGGGCAAGCCCTGTACGTGTGGAAAGTGATCAATCTCCAGAATAACAATGACAGCAAAGGGGAGAGAAAGGCCCAGTGACTCTTTCAGTAAAAGCAAGATGAACTCTGAAAGCTGCACACTGCACGAGACACAGGTTTTCAAAAGCCCAGCCTTTTATAATTGTGTTCTACATCTCCATATGACCCATGCAAGCCTGCAAAAAACAAATATTGGACTTTAAAAAATAATGAACGTATTTCTTTATTAATGCCGGAGCTATGTGTGATGTACAGTATTGTCAAACCCAATAAGCCAAACTTGCATTAAAATTGCATTAACGTTCTTATATTAAATCACATCTTGTATTTCAAAAATGGCTATAGTAAAGTGGAAGTAACTTAATTCTCTTCACACTCCAGTCATTAAAGTTTAACTTTTGAGAAAACTGCATGGTAACCAACAACACAGACGTAGTGAGTTTTAAGAAAATTTTTTTTTCCAAATTATTAAAATCAATGTTTTTCTTTAGAAGACAGAAGAGTTTTGCAAACACCTATTGTTTCCCATGGGATTTAATAGTAATGTAGTCACACAGCTTCCCATACAAAAAGTTAACAGCACCTTTGCTCTGTTGAAGTTCATTGGATTCAATTCATTGTTATTTATTTATATGGTTAAACTATCCTAAATGCAGCCTGATGGAAAGCAGGTGAGAGATACTGACCTGTGGCCCAACAGGAAATGGAGGGTGGGTCTGACTGGCTGGGTGTTGCTCGGGAGAGCCTGGATCTGACAGTGCTGCGTTGCCTCTGGCCCCTGAAATTCAAAAGAGAAGTGCTTAATACAAGAGAGATCCTTAATATAAGACCCGGCCTGATTAACTTCACACCACCTTTGTTTTCTTGTGATGTCGCAGAGAATTAATGGAAGATGATACAACAGAGTGGTTTACCAATAGTTCTAGTGCTGAAATCACCTATTGACTGCATACATGATTATAAGGAACATGCGTGATGGTGAAAGTCACCAGGAGGTAGAAAGCAAGGGACACCAGGGGAAATAACACTCAGTTGCCCTGAAAGGATTACATGAGCTGTGCATCCTATGTAGGGGGGAGTTACATCCTTTATGCGCAGGAGAGCAACAGCTAATTTAATTTTCCAAAGCCAAAGAGTTGAGACATGACCAAGTCCACTCATATCATCCCAAATACGCTTCCCCATCTCCTTTGTAGCTAAGCCCTTTCTTTTGCCTGCTTCAGACAATTTTAGCAATACCTTTCCCTAAAGAGCAAAACCTTTTTCAATGTCACCTTCCACAATGTCCAAAAACAATATGGATCACCTTATACAAGTTTCCTGGGTGCTGAAAGAGACAGAATTGAACAGTAACTTCAAAGATCTACACTCAGTTAAGTATCGAAGAACATAGCTCAGTTCCTCTGCTGGAATCCTGTTGGACACCAAAGCACAAAAAAAAGAATATCCCACCTAAACAGCAAATCTATAAAGCCCTTTGGACGATAGAGTGTCTCTGTGTAGCTTATGTGCTTTGTTCCAGGACAAATCACTGCAGATAACACAACCACAGAAACAAGAAATACATGAGTAAACACACAAAACTAGCAGCCATTTTTGAGGGGTCCTTATTGGTAGCTTTTGTTTCCTTGAAAATTTCTAAGGGGTGGTTGAAATCCAATTCCAAGCAACCCTTAACAAGATCTTCTTTCCTGATGCTTGCCCTATGAATACCAAGTAGCAGACAATTCAGGACCTGTTTATTGGCATGCCATGGATGACCAAGAAAAAGAAAAAGATCTGATCCTGTCACATTTATAAATTTTAAAGAAGGTATTATTGGCTCATTTAAAACAAATTCTTCTATATATTCTCCAAAGGGACAGACTTATAAATAATGGAAATGTGGAAAAAATACTTCAGCACATTAAGCTACAAATAAAATTGACTGCTACATATTATTCAATTGACTTCTATCTGCACAGCGATGTGTCAATCATAACAGCATTTTATAACAGGATTAAGCAATAAACGTGCAAAGCCATTATGCAGAAATCTGAAAATCTGATTAATTTGTAATATTTTTTTGTGCAGAAAGTCAGGAATGGACATTGCTTGGGGAATACTTACAAGCATTCTATTGAAATTTCTAAATTGATTTGGAACAAACTAATAAAAATACAGGCTTGCTGACATTTTATAAAGTGAATTCTGTCAAAATATGTTTGGCATTTTAATGATTGCTGTCATTTAATAACAAGGGTAAGATGACCCATGAGAAGGTGCCAACACTTTCCCCATAATGTGCAGGAGACCTTTCTTTTCCTAATTTTTTAGTTATAACGTTTAGAAAGCAGGACATTTAAAACTAGGAAGTGCCTTATGCAGGGTAAGTCTCATGGTCTCTCTTACTATATACTCAAGTCCTACTTGCCTTGAAATTCTCACCATTTATTTGTACTTCTAAAAGCTTGCTGAGTCGCAAAATGTTGCTTTCTATCAAATATTAAGATTGGATTAATTCACAGATAGGTAAAAAAATCACTACTTAAAAAATTTGGCTTTTTCTTAGTTTTTAGGCATGGGGTTTTATACTAAAAAGAGTTTTACAATGCACAGAAAAATAGAAAAGTCTCCCTTAAACAATTAAGAATCTATTCATATCTTAATTTTTAAAAATTTCTATGCCACGGTAAGCCTTTCTGTGCCCTGTTTCTTGCATGTGGGCCGGGCCTGTTTGACCTGTCCCACACAGGCACTGTGTCAACAAAAGTGTTTGTTTGTTCTCTGCAACTTTACACACACTGCATTTGCTTACTTTTCTTCCTTGCTGCCTTGAGGCCATAAATGGTGCTCAGTACCTTGTTCTGAGGCCCACTATTCGCAGAAACCATGTTCAGTGCAGTCTGGGGCAATTCCACACAATTTCATGTGTAAAATGAGGTCTTTCACAGGCTCTCGAAGAGATTATGTATGCTCTCACGTCTGACCAGTAAGTAACGTTTCTTCTTAATGTACATCTCCATTTTCCCCAAACACGTGTATCATGCTTAACCTTGTAGGACCATAAACTAATCTGTCTGGGTGGAAGGCTGCTCTTGAATAGAGGCCTTCTCAGAGCCAGAGGGAAATCTAGAAATCAGAAGAATAAATGACATCAGCAAAGGGTTGCAGAGATCTGAGGCAATGTTCAGCTTTATGTTAGCAGAGACCTGGAAGTTAGCTATTTCCACAGTCACAGATACAAAAACACCACCTTGAATGGGGTGTACAGGTTCACGCTGTCCTGGTATCTATAAAACATGTTACATCTCCGGAGACCAACGCATTCCAAGACAGCTCTCTGAGGCTAGGTGCGAAGAGGCAGGCCTGTGTTTTTAAGCACGGGAGCTCCGAGCTCTGCAGCTTAGGGACTGTGTGATAGGTTCACCACTCTCTGGAGGACATGTTGTTCACATTTCATGACTCTTCACGTATTCACACAATAAAGAAAAGAACTTGGCTTTTAATGCAGCAGTGGTCTAATTCCTTTAAGGTAGCTGCTGGCACCCACTTGATTATCTCCTAATGTTTAACATAAAATTTGAAAATATCTTATTGACAAATTCTATCACAATTCTAATTTATATGTTGTTATACTTTGGATCTTGAATGCACCCCAAAATGCCAAGTGTTAAAGGATTGGTCCCTAGTCTGGAAAATGGAGCCTACTGAAGAGAAATTGGGTCACTGAGGGCACTGCCTTGTGGGTTTCAGGATCCTGGCCCCTCCCTGTTGCTCTGTTTGTCTCAGCCACCATGATCAATTGTATTCAAGTAGTAACGACAAGAAAAATAATCTGTATGTGTTCTTGTTTCCACATATTTTCAGGACACAGTTGGTTAAATCTGTGTATCAGGATCTCAATGACAGAGAAGGCTGATTGTATAGCACTTCCTTTAGTTCATGGTAGCAGAATCAGGAAATATGACACCAAGATGCTGGAATATAGCTTCCAGATTCCATGGCTTAGAAGAGTGGTCCTCATCCAGGCATGCAGCTCATCTGTGGAGCTTCTCCTGGCCATTGACGGAGATGCTAAGGGCAAGTTCATGTGAATGTTTTCACACTACCGCACAAGGGATTGAGGAATACAATGAGTAAACAGTGGTTTATCAGCTGCCAAGGGTGTCTATCTTTTGCACTGGGAATACCATAGACCAGTAGTGATGACCCTATGGCACATGTGCCACAGCAGGCTGCTTCTTATCATTGAAAGCTCTAGAAGGTTTGCCATTGCCACCACAGACCATTAGTGTTAGCAACAGATGCATCATCAGTTGGCATGACCCCCAGGGCCTTCCAAGCTTTCTTGCCTTCAAATTTTCTCCCATTATAATATAGATTGAGAGAGGAATAGAAACTCATAGTCTTCACTGTGTGGCTCATAGCAATTTTTGTTTTGCAAATCTTTTTTTTTTAAATTTCAGCAGAACAGGTTTTCATTAACCAGGCTCAGATCCTCCTAGCTACTCCAAAAATAAAACAGATATGCATTCCTGTATACAGTCTTGGAATTTTCTGCTTTTTAAAAGTAGACTCTTCTAAATAAGTCATTTTAAGGCAAAAACACACATTTTTAGTCCTAAGAGGGTACACCCTTTTCTGGAGCCCTGGCCGGCTCTTTTTGCAAAGAGGACATGATGGCAGCAGCAGATTGAGAAGGAAAGAGAACCACAAATACAACTTGCTCATCAAAGGTACTCCCCCATGGTAGCCATCCTCTCCACATGCAGTGAATAAGAGTCCCTTGCTAATGACCAATGCATTTTTAATGAATCATATTTTTCTGAATTTGGGATTCTGTCCTTTATGCATTAACACAAACATAATCACATGAAGGTTACAGGGTTCTCCCAGCTCTTTCTGGTATTTCATACCTTTCTTGCCCACAGTTTGCACTTTTCACCAATGACTAAGGTGATGCAAAGGTTATTTATTATAAGATGGACAGTTGAATGCATTATTATTTCATGTTGGGAGGTGAACTCAGCAAAGCAGAAGGGCACAAGTCCCCTTTAAATTAAACTTCCTTTTCTTTCTATTTCGCCAAGATTACTAAATGCCAAGGAGGGAGTGGAAGTGTCTCTGTCTGCCACTTTTTATTGCCAGTCAGGATTTCTTTATGATACTGGACATACACATATTTATGTACAGAACACCACACAGACGCTCAGTGGAATTTGAGACTCTAAAGTAATAAGGCTGATTCTATAAGCCATATGTGAAAATCAAACATTCATTAATTCACATAAGGGGTTGTATATTTTTTGCAAATTATGTTGTCAGGTACTTGTAACTTCATCCACTGAAGCCTGGAGAACACAGAGTTCCTGATGATATTAATGTAAAAAGCAGATTCCTTTCTTCTGGCAGGCGATTCATATGGTCTCTGAGGGAGAGAAACCAGATCTCTTTATTTGAGTGAGGGATCTAAGTCTTCATTGGCTCTAAATAATGATCTTCAAGACTGAACATATAATTTTCACTTGAAAAGCAAAAGGGAAACTTGAAATATTTAGATAAAATGCATACACACATCCAGACAGACAGACAGACAGACATCCTTGTGTATCTCTTATTTGGACTTGATCATCCGAATATTTTTATAATATTTACAAAAATTGTTTAATAACTGCTTCTGTGTTTCATGTAAATTTAGTCTATGTAAGCTATGGAGATTGTTAAGACTTTATTTCCTCAAAATTTACTAAATTTCCCTTCTGTCTTCCTCCAAAAATTTTTTATCATTTGTTTTCA